GGCACAGGTTTGACAAGGTTAGAGCCTATATAATTTACCAGGTTGTACTATTCCAGGCACCTAGTTTGTTGCTGGCCATGCTTCCTCAAAGTGCTGTTGTCATGAGGAAAGTGTGAGGGCTGCCATTTCTGGCCCTCTTCTGAGAATACTGGCTGCCTCTTCAAAACCTTCAGAAGTTGAACAAGCATAATGTAAATGAATGCTAGGACTTTTGTCACACTTCGAGTCAGACTCAAAAGATTTGGAACCAAACCATCCACATAAGGGAGCTAACACTCTGAAAGCAGAGGTCCGCAATGGCAGCATCCATACTTTTTTCTTTTGGACGAGAAAATTAGGCTTTTTGGGAACCATATTGTCCGTGTCCACCCTCGCCACTGATGGCTGTGACTAATTGATAGAGGCAAGGCCAGCAGCAGTGTTGTGAGGTATTGTGTTGCGCACACTGGCTTCACCCAAAATAATGGCGAGAATCTGAGTTTGAAAGAAGCAAATTTGCAAAAAAAACTGATATGCAGAAAAGTTTTGTTCCTGTTTGAAAACAAAGTGCAACTACCACCTGATTCTATTTGAATGTTCTCCTCAGGTTTCTGCTAACTTCTCATCTGAAATGGGAACTCCCGGCTCCAATGTTAGCCTGGATGTGACTGCGACACCAGAATCTGCCTGCCTTACCCGTGTCTTTGATTCCAGCCTCCTACTTCTCGAACAAGGGCAAACATTTTCTGCTGCTATGGTAAGATACCAATGAGGTTGAGGTGTTGACCTTGTCCTATTTGAGTGCAAATTGGTTCTCCAGGGAAGAGTCATATTTGCATGTAAGATGCCATTTTAATGATTTTATACCCTTGGCATATTAACTGCCAAGGGGCAGCTAAGGATTGTGTGACTTTGGAATGCTTTTCTGAAATGCCACGTGGACTGATTGTGCCAAAAGTGCAACTGATCAACCACTGGCTGTAGTGGAGAGTTTCCCACCCTTGAATGGCTTGGTAAATCAAAATCTGAAGCATTCTTAGAGGCCATGTTTGCTTTTTACAAAGTTTGTTGAATCTTTGAAATAGGTACTCTCAGATCTTAATAGGCATCTACTCCAGGAGTTCTCACCTAAAGGCTAGTTCAGAACACATTCTTGTGCACTCAATTCCATCTCCAAGACGGCTCAAAACTAGACCGTTGTGATTTACATCTCCCACTAAATTTAGTGTCTTGGCACATTTGTATTTGGGATGAGGGTGAGACCTCCACATAATTATTGGATCATTTTAAAGCTGTCTTATGAAAGCTTGCAGTCTAGGCTCTGTTGGTGCCCTTAAAGTGCATTCCTGAAAAATCACACTGTTGGTTGCTACAAGAATATATTAAACAAAGTGAAACCGCCATGCTGTATTACTGAGCAGTAAACCTTATGTAACATGTAAATGTATAACTCAAAACATAACACAATGCTCAAGTACAGTTCAATAGGGGTGTTTATCAATTGTATACCTGGAGCAGTATATTGCCATCTAGGCTGTACAGGGCTTTGTGCACTGAAGATGGGACTTGTGTTCCTTTTTTAATTTGCCATTCTGACATGAAGTGAAGTAGTACTTTGGATGAAGTAGGGAAGGATTAGAACACTTAACTTTTATATTTCTCCCCCCCCCCCCTCCCCCCTCCCCTTTTTATGTCCTGTAGAAGGTAAGGGTCTTTGCTGTGTAAATTCCAGAGAGTGTTCAAAAAAGTTACTGGGTCTGCTGTAAAAGTATTGTATACCTGGAGCAGTATATTGCCATCTAGGCTGTACAGGGCTTTGTGCACTGAAGATGGGACTTGTGTTCCTTTTTTTAATTTGCCATTCTGACATGAAGTAAAGTAGTACTTTGGATGAAGTAGAAGGATTAGAACACTTAACTTTTATATTTCTCCACCCCTCCCCCTCCCCTTTTTATGTCCTGTAGAAGGTAAGGGTCTTTGCTGTGTAAATTCCAGAGAGTGTTCAAAAAAGTTACTGGGTCTGCTGTAAAAGTGTTGCGGTCTCTGTCCCTACTGGGTAGATTGACTGGGTGCCTTGGTGACACGATGTCACCAGCCCAAACTAAGTGATGGGGGAGGGGGAGGAAAGTAAGGGAGAGACGGACAACAAACTCGTCACTAGAACAAGAAATGAGGGTAACTTTTTTTTTTTTTTTCACTGAAGCATGTTCCAATGACTATCTGAGGAGAACTCCCTTTTTGTAGAGACTCATTGCGTCTCCCAGACAGGAAGTAAAGGAATGCCCCCAATAGGACAGACAGTAAACGGATGGAGGTTTTAACTTCCTTGCTCCTAAAATGAAGGACCCTTTATGGCTATATATGCAACTTAATGTAAAGTTGAATGTAATTCTGTCCCATTTGATATTACAGATTTACAGCTCTCTTCAGTACAACCGCCTGAACGGCTACTATGCAGCAGGATTCAATGTAGCTCCCAATCCACCTGAGTGTATTGATTCCAATAAACAGATTCTGATCAATGGAACATACTGGCAACCTGTTAGCCTCCCACAGGAAGAAGATGTCAGTAAGGTTTTCAGTGTAAGTATTCACTGCTTGCTTTCCATAAAATCGCTTCCTTAAAAAGTAAAATTTGATCTGCTGGATTAAGTGGACCTTTCAGTAACTTTACAAACTGCATGAATACTATTCTGACCTGGCAAAAAATATACAGCAACGGCATCATTTTTATGAAAAGCTTATGCATTCGGTTAATGAAAAGACATCCTTGAGCTCAGGTGGCTGTGCCTAGGTTGAGAGGTCATTGGTGAATCTATGCAGTGCTGCTCTAGGTCAGTCCACAATCTTTATCCAAAGGGTGCTGACTCACCTTGTATCTGGTAAATGCGATCTCAGCCAGGCCACTATCTGCAAATTGATTTGCATGTTCTCCCCCGTGCTTGCGTGAGTTTCCTCCAACCCTCTAAAGACATGCTGGTAGGTTAATTGGCTCCTGTCTAAATTGGCCCTTATGTAGAAAAGTGACCTTTGATTGTAAGCTCCTTGAGGGCAGGAACTGATGTGACTGTGCAACTATGTAAAGCACTGTGTAAATTGTTGGTGCTATATAAATATCTGATAAAATTAAGAATGACTGCACTCCAATGCAGGACCCTATAACTAAGCGCAAGTTTGCATGAATTGGAAGCCGTGTTTGTACCATTTCAGCAAAAAATTATGTTTACGGTCATTGGTGAATGTTGGCAGTTCTTTCTTCAGTGTCCCGCAACAGCCAGACCTTCTGAACATATCCTCACTTGACCTTCTGATGGCGTTTTTGCTGATTGGCTATTGTTTCTATCCTAATGAGACTGTAAAGTTTGGCTTTCCCATTAAATCCAATACAGTTCAGCAAAAGGATGTTTTGCTCATACCTAGTCCTCCAGGCAGGAGGAAGCAGCTCCCTACACTCGTGATGAGACTGACTTCTAGTTGCATTGTATAAAGTGAAACAAATTGCCTCCTGCTGCAGTCCATTAGACCTTTTTAACACAGACCAGAACTGCACAGGTACCAGGATTTTACATGACTTGTTCTAAATGGTGACCCTGGATGTCTAGACAAAAAATGGCTGACCTGAGGAGGAAAGCCTATGAACAGAGTTCTGTGATCTGTGAAAGCAAATATCAAAGTGTTAAGAACGCCTCCTTTTTTAAAATATAGGAATTGCAATGGGGCTTACTCCTGCACTTCCAAGGATTAAGTGCTTGTTTTGGTCTAGGGTCTAAAATGTACTCGCCTCATCCTCTGCTCTTCCTGGCTGCTAGACCTGTCCCCACAGCCTCTTCTTCCCCGGCCTGTAGCTCACCATTCAGCACCTGGCCTCACCTAGCTCTGCCCACTGCTTCTGATGCTAAAACCTTCCCATTGAGCTGCAGTGTCTTGGAGGGAGAGCATGTGAGACATTTGCTCAGTCAAAAAAGGTAAAGGAAGTTGGTATGGTTGCGTAGTATGGGGCTTGTTTAGACTTTTCATACAGGACTCTGTACTTGTAGTTTTAATATTGGGTATCTATATTCAGGTGGCCACACTGAATTGCTGGTTTCAGTAATTGGACACTGACCTAAGTAGACGGATCAGCAATGTAGACCTGTCGCAAGCATGCAGAATGTTAAGAGCACTTCGGTTAACGGATCAGCATGAGAGTCTAGGCAACTCGCAGCCCATCATTAAACCAACAAATGTCTGTGCTTTTGAGTTTGCAGTGCAGTCCTGAAGATTACTTGTCGTTCTCACAGTTTTTCTGTCCCTTTCAGGATATCGGTATTCATGTGATAACTGATACACCCTTCCAGCAACCACAGTTGTGCTCTCAGCCTTTCTTTGGACGACCATTTTCTTTTGCACGACCAGAAAGTTCAATGAATATGGCTAGATTTGAATCTGATGGTTCTCCCCCTCGAACGGCAACTGGTACCATTACAGGTAAAGATTAACGCTTGCACATTTGTCTCTATTTCATAAAAATAAAAGACGGTCAAGTATATCCTGTAATGCATGCAAACGTGAGGTACATTTATTTATCTTTTTCTAAAAATACCTGCTCAGAGGCAGTCTCTGGTACGATTTGGTGTTTTTGTCTCAGGTTGACTAAAAAACAGCTATTGATGGGGTACTGACTTGTAGGGTTTTGGATGTGTACAATGATGTGCAAACTGGTTTACACGTGGACAGTGTTCCATAATTAATCAGTCAATATTGTGCTTTCATACAGCAAAAATTATTATTATTATTTTTTTTTTTTCCTAGCAAATATTGGAGCCCCACCGATAACCAGCATGCGGACTTACTTTCCAGAATTGTGGTTTTTTGGAAGCATATTTGTAGGGTGAGTTTTTTTTTTGTGTGTGTGTCAGAATGACTGTGTAGAGGTAGACCAGTTAATTATCATGCAATGCTCTAAAATCTTTTCTCAACCTTGGATCCATGGAACCCTAAGGTTTCCCTTTTTGGTATTACTTCATAGTGGTGGGATTGTGCCCGACTTGGCTCTTGGCTGAGTCAGTGGTGTGGGGCAAGAGACATCAATGTATAGGTGCAGTACACTGACCACCAATGTAGGGGGTGTTTTTGTTTTTTTTTCCTCCTGACCATCAGTGTTAGTCCATAAACAGTTTGCATTAGCCCTTGTAAAGTTTATCCTATTGCATCATCACGGATCCAAAAAGTGTAACATTTTTAGGAAAAAAAATTATTTCCTTTTTTATCTGATGGTTCAGCACCTGGTGAGCTTCCACTGTTACCGTACAACATTGTTGTACATCAGTGTTGCATGTCTACTGTGGATCACTGGTGTCGCTCGGCATTGCCATTTCTTATAAATGGTTATAACTTGCTGATTGTGCTAAATGACCATGAGCTGTACATTTTATTTTAAAAGCGGGGGGCGGGGTGTGTCCCTGAATTTTTATTTCAAGAGTTTCTGTGATGAAGAGAAAATCTATATACATGTTAACATTGTTATACCTGTCCTGCAGAACAAGAGTCTTCAGTGTTTACAGCACTGGAGCACATGAATATATGCCCCCGGCTGGTTGTATGATCTTGGTTGAAGATTCGGTGCTGCCAATTGGCCAGT